CAACAAATATTGGCCCTCCCAGTGGAAATTTTCTGGCTACGTGCCTGAGTACATCTAGATTGTTTAGAATTTACATCAAAAACTTACTATTCATCATCATCGCTTCATATTCTTCAACGATATCTGACCACGGTCTAGATGAATATTTCATTAGTTTCTTGGTTTTTGGAAGAGGCTTTTCGGATTGCTTATCTTTGGTATCACAATTGGCCAACGTTTTTTCTAACAGTGTTTTTAAATCTTCTGAAACATGAAATGTATGTTATTTTTTTTATATTTATTAATCCGGTGTATTTTCCCTATTTTAACAAACACTCACTCTCTAGGTTATTAATTGGTGCCGTCAAATTAACTAACGGTTGCTCATTATTCTTTTTCTTATACATAACTTCTTTTAAATTATTTGAACTTGTAGATGAAGTCACAATACTCTCAACTTTAACACCGTCTTCTTTTTTCGATTGTGAAATCTTGGTATTTGATGTTTTTGCTTTCTTGCTTTGATCCTTACTTTCTTGTATCGGAGAATTATCCGAAAGAATTTTGTCTTTGGAAGAACATTTTTTAACCTCTTTTGCTGTAGGTTCGATTTTCGTCACAATATCAACAGTAGAAGTTTGATCCTCCTTTATGGGTTTCTCTTTTATAGTATCGGGTTCTTCTGTAATTCAAATATAATTAGTTAGTAAATACCAATCAGAAAACTATTTGTGAATTATGAAGCCTATATCGAAATTACTTTTCGATCCTATAACAGGTATGGTTGTTTCCAACAATATTTTATTTTTATTTTCCAGAGTCTGCGTTGTAGATTGAACTGTCGAAGTCGAAGGCTGAGTATTAGAAGTTTCTAATACGACGTTGGATTCTTGTAATTTTTTGCTTCTCTTTCTTTTTCTCTTTTTACCTTCTATATTTTCACCTGGGTTTTCTTTCGACAAGTTTGTAATCGACGGTTGTTTTAAAGATGTATCAATCATCTCATTTTCCTGTGCCGTTGATTCTTCTGAAATATGGAAATTTTAATTATCAAATAGTTTTCGTTATTTCGGTTGTTTTGGTTTTATTTTGTTTGACAATTACCAATCCTATAATGTTCGTTGCTTTTGACTAGCGAAATACTACTTAGTACATCTAGATTGTTTAGAATTTACATCAAAAATTTACTATTCATCATCATCGCTTCATATTCGAATTTTAGTTTATAAATATATATTGAAGGAAATAATAAAATACCTCTCTTGCGATATCCTGACTACTCTCTTGCATCGTCTAACCGTGACATTGCAAATTTATTCGTATAAGACCTTGAGAATAGATTCTCACCACACTCAAATTTACTCAGTTGAAGCCATTACTCTAATATTGAAGGCTCTTTTTTAATCACTCTCCCGATGTGTCTTACCAAAAAACATACATCTCCTTCTGAAGTCCCAAATATTATGAAATACTTAAAAAACTGCAAACATCCTGGACACGACTTGATAACCAATACTATTGCTAAACATCTTCCTAAGAAAGCAATCGTACTTCTTACTTATATCTACAATAGTATTCTCCTTTTGCCCTATATCCCTTCCATCTGGGAACATTCATTTATTATCCTTATTTACAAACCAGTTAAACCTGATCAACTCTCCTCATATAGGCCAATAGCTAATAAGCTAACTTCCTACTTTCTCAAAAATCTTAGATATCATCATATTAAAAATATTCTATCCAATATTAAACGATAAAAAAATTATTCCAAATGCCCAATTTGGTTTTAGGAGTAAGCACTCCTCCCTCCTTCAACTGCTTAGGCTAGTCAATAATATCGCCTCATTCCTTGAACAAAAAATATTTTGCTCCGGGATTTTTCTGGACGTTGCTCAGGCGTTTGATCGTGACTGGCACGAAGGGCTATTGTTCTAACTATTGTTTTTACCTATCCCGTTATTTCTCTTGCTCAATTCATTCTTATCAAATCGCACATTTTCAGTAAGACGAAACTTCCAACCCTAATCCTATAAAATCAGGCGTCCTTCAAGACAGTATCTTATCCCCGACTCTCTATAATATATATACAGTTGACTCGTCTCAATCTATTAACACCATTCTAGCTGTCTTTACCGTAGCTATAATCTCAACCAATTCCGTAATAGTCATCGCCTTTAACAACCTCCAAGATCACATAACCCAACTACAAAATTGGTTGACATTATGGAAAATCAAAATTAACGAAAACAAATCCACTCATATCACCTTTACCCTCAGGCCTAACATAAACCCCCCGGTTTATATAAATAACCAAATAATTCTAATGGACAAATCCTCAAATACCTTGGTTTCATTATTTTACCTAAGATTAACTTGGGCTGATCACATCAAAACTAAAAGAACTTCACTTAACCTCAAACAACACAAATTAAGATCTCTTCTCCAATCCAAAACCTTTTTCACTTATAAAATTCTAATTTATAAACAAATTTTACTTTACTATACTTTTATTTTAAGAATAAAGAAATTCTTATTAAACGTTGTGCAACAATTCTTAAAACAATTCGTAAATTGTCCAGATTGTCATCTGGTTATGCAATAAATGTAGAATAATTCAATGAATACGCAATTGAATGAAACAGCTAAATTGTTAGTTAAAGAATATCCTTAGTACTATATGCCATCCTCAGTACAAAAGATATTATTACATGGCTCATTAGACATTTCTGCCGCTTTACTTCCCATTAGCCAAATGTTCAAAGAAGCACAAGAAGCACGCAATAAAGATCTAAAAAATATTCGCGAAAATTATTCTAGAAAATGTTCTAGGATTGTAACAAATGAAGACCTGTTACATGGACTATTAGTGTCATCTGATCCAGTCATTTTCAGCCTGAGAAAGTTACCACTAAAAAAAATTTCATCTTTCTCACAAGAAGTATTACAATTACTAATTGTAGCAACACCAACAAATAATTTGAAAGAAAATAGTTCAAGTGCAAGTGATGAAAATTAATAGATATATTTATTGTATATTTTTATATTCAGTATTAATAATTTACTGCTTACTTTATTTCAAATTGTAATTTTTAAAATTGTTACCCACAAAGAAAAATTATTTTGCATTAGAACTTGAGGCATCATATTTGTTTTTGGACGCACTCATTTTCGACAGTATTTTTATGGTAAACAATTTACAATTTGGACAGATCACAAAAATTTGGTAGGGATCCAAAAAATAAAATCAGAATCATATGTATTAAATCGCATACGAACTAAACTTATATAATATGAATTTAGCATAATATATAAACAAGGTATTTTTAATAAAGCGGCAGATTTTCAATCAAGACATCCAATAGGTTTTGATAAATCGGCAGAATTTAGCTGTGATACAAAGCATGGTAAATTTCAGTTTTACTGAAAAATTATTTAATTTCTTACGATGATTTTATGCGTAACAATGATAAAGAAGTAATATTTAATTTCGATATTAAACAAGTGAATCATGACTTGTTCAGTAAATATTTCAATGAAACATTTCATTTAGTACATTACGTTTCTCAAGATTTTATGATGAGCAAAGGTATTGCTCTTAATTACAAAAACAAATATGGTCAAGTAAACGAATTAAAAGCTCAGAACAAAAAAGTTGGTTAAATCACATATTTAAATTTTAATTATTTAAATTTAGTAATCTATTTAATTAAAAAAGCAACATTCTACGAAAAATCTACAAATCATTATTTACTACCTTTAAACAGTTAAAAAACTTTTGTAGCACAAATAATATAACAAAAATAGCGAAGCCCAAGATTACTTGCGGCTTAGATAAATTAAGCTGGCCAATTATTTTTAATATGTTAAAATACGTTTTTCACTAGAAAAAAACATTAAAAAACATTGAATTTCAATATTTTTACCATCGCGACACATAATATCGTTAGTTGAACCGATTAATGTTCATTTTTTGCAAACGTGTGACGATTTTTTACAAAAAATAACTAATGACCGTGGCGATTAAAAATCCTGAGTTATCAGAAATAAAATGGAGCAGTAAAGCAAAATCGTATATTATAAATGAAAATGATAGGTTAGTGTATTTTAGAGATATTTATAAAGGTATACCAAAATTAGTGATAGCATTACTGGTTAATTTAGTAAAAGAAGTGATAGAACATTTTCATGACGAAAAAATGTCTGGTGCACATATAGGCGTTCATAAAGTATTTAATAAAATAAGATCACAATACCATTCGCCTACTATGCAAAAGGATACAAAAAATTAAGTAGTTTTTTGCAATACATGTCAGCAGCGTAAACCAGATAGACAATCACTAGGTGGAGTTACAATCAAATAAAATTATAAATGGTATTCCTTTCCAAGAAATTTATATTGACTATATGGGACCTATGCTAGGTTCACGAGGTTGCAAATATATATTAGTTGCTACATGTCGTGCGAAAAAATGTTGCATTGCTAAAGCGTACAAAAATGCGAACGCTAAATCAATAACCAAATTTTTATTGGAATTGATTTTAACATATGGCCCACCTAGAAAAGTTAGATCCGATAACGGCACGCACTTTACGGAAAAAGTAATTTCGCAATTATTATTAACTTTAGAAATCCAAAAGAAGGAGGGCATAGCTTACAGGCCAACAAGTTAGGAACAAGTAGAAAGGCAAAATCAAGTCATTATAAAAATGATAGCACCATACGTTGCAGAGGGTGAAAAGTGGACCGATGTTTTCCCTATAGTTTTGCATGTATATAATACAGTTATACACCATTCAATTGGCTACACTCCTTTTTATTTAGTACATGGCTTCGAGCCAATTTCAATATTTGATATTGCAATTATTCCATTAAATTTAAATCATTCTACGATTACAGCAGGGGCGTATATATGGGGGAGCCGAGGAAGCCCGGTCTCCCTCCGAAATGAAAAACACCATTGTTAAAGATTGTTATTTTTAACATGGATATGTATTAATGCTGGGGATTTCCGAAAATTTGTCGCGACACTGAGAATGTTGCTTATGCAATAATTTAAAATTTTATATTTATAAAATATGTTTATTCTTTTAAGAAAATGCAGTGAATTTTGAGTGACTAATAAAGAATTTGTTTATTACAATGTAGTTTTTATACTTTTAAAAAATAATAAATCATTAAAAAAATTGAGTTTCTTATTTCTCTGATGGTGTAAAGACAGTCGAGAAGTCTTATAGTGTTAAAGTAATTTTTTTCGTAATAGTGTACTTCCTCCTTCCCTTCCACCCAAAAATCAAATTCATAATTGGCCCCATCCAAAATTAAAACCTATATATGCCACTGGATTACAGAAATACGAAAATTGAATTCAATACGTGAAAAATTACCTGATATTTTACAGAAAGCTTTTGAAAAACAAAAAAATTATGCAAATAGAGGAAAAAGTAACCTAGATTTTTATGTAGGAGAACATTTTTTAATAAAAATGAATATAAGAAAGGATAAATTTTCGGATAGATACGAAGGCCCTCATACAATATTAAAGAATATTAATCCAGTTACATATTTGGTTGAAATTAACAAAAATGGTAGAAAACAAGTTGAGAAAAACCATGTTCAACAAATAAAAAAATATCGAGATCAATCGCAAATACAAAGTGTGTATTACTATAGTTAAAAATAAGATCAAATACATTTATGTTATTGTAATTATAATTTTAGTAGAAATCATTAATTCTAGTCTACAAATTTTAGAAAAGAAAAGTGATCACTAATTAAATAATATAATGTTAGGCAGTGGCGCCGAATACATATGTCAAGTGGAGCGACCGCTCCACTTCTTTGTATTGGTGGGTAGGTGGGTGGGTCAGTCATGTGTCACTTTGTCAGGTCATAAAGTGCTGAGAGTGAAAATTATAGAATAAGTTAGTTGTATCTATTGACTGTATTACGCTTTAAGCTATTATTATACAGTACATAACAATAAAACACAGACAAAATAAACTCTTTATAACACTATCGCTATTCGCTAATAAAATAATAAATATCCAATAAATATTAGATACCGCATTCGAGCTTGCTTTACAATTGCACCGAAGATGTTATGCGGCGTTCCGTAGTTGTGCGTTTCAATTTACACTGATTATTGATTAATTATAGCAGAATTTTATATCAGATTATGATGATGGCGCAATTCTCTCTGGCGCTTATGAACTTAACTAAATGAATAATAACTAAAAAGCATGCATACCATATAATTCAAGATTGTAAATAGTGTAAATATATATAAAAAAAATGTTAGACCACTAAGCGTCAGCGATCAGCAAGTCGTTATCAAACTTATTTAACAAAATATGGATATAAATGTATTATATTTTATAATTCTGTAAATTGTAAGGAAAAAACTTAAGAAAAAAACTACAGTTTACTGGGTATATTTTTCTAGTTTAACGGAGTTCTGTAGTTTTATCTCAAAATATGTATAAATATTCTTATTGTTATCTGTGAATTCGCCGTAGCCCGCCGAAGGTACCCTATGAAAAACCATTTTATTTTTAGAACTAGACGGTGTTCGAGCTCGGTTATTGAGATTACAGAGTGGAATCGCCGCGCGCCGCACCGATCACTACAGCAGTACAGCAAGGCGCAATCGTGTATTTAGTATTAGACATTTAGATTTTAGACTTTAAATAGAAGTTTGTTAATAGTCGTTACTCGTTAGTGGATTTGTAAGTTATGTTTTTATTCCGTTTTTCGTGTTCGTGTTAATTACAGACGTGGACATAACACATGAACAAAATAGCAGTGGCCCAGTGTATTTGTGAGTTTTGTTAAAGTGACTTGTAAAAATATGTTAACTAAGTAACTAACTTTTATTTCGCCATGTTTTCGCCACAAAATTTTGTATGCGTGTGTGGCAAAAAACAACTTGAAATGAATTCAACAAATTGGTTGCGTCATACTCAAGCGTGTAAAAATGTTAAGTCAAAACAAAAGTGTTAAAATATTAAATCATTCTTCAACATGAAATGTATAAAAATTACAAAGAAGCATGACTTAGACACCTTGGATAACTCAGTACCTATCCCCAAACAAATTGCATTCAATGGTAAATAAATCAACTAATAATTCAAATATACATGTTTATTATTTAGTATTCATATATTATAATACCTAGATATTTTTTTAATTTTTTGCTTAAAGATTATAATAAAACAGAAAGAACTGTTCAAGTCAGTGTTGAATTTTTAGAAAATGACAATATTGAAATGTTTGTACCCAAAGGTAAATGAATAAAATATTAATTTTATGATTCATTGAACTTATAGGGATTGTACTAATATACACAGTTGAAATTACTTAGTTAACTACCTAAATATATTTTTTTTAAAGTAATATTGATTATTCAATTTTAATGAAAATTAATTTTTTTTATTGTGTTTACAAATCACAGTATCTATGTACATTTATATTATTTTTTGTAAAGATTATAATCAAACAGAAAGAACCGTTCAAGTCATTGTTGAATCTTTAGAAAATGACAATATTGAAATGCTTGTACTCAAAGGTAAATAAATAAGTATAATATTTTTTTTTTTTTAGAACTTTTAGTATAAACTATAACAGTTCAACAATTAAAATAATATTAAATTTCACAATTAATATATAAAAACATAACAAGATAAGAAAAATAAACACAATTATTAAGATGAAAATAAAAATATTGAAGATAGTCAATTAAAATATAGATAAGCATTACAATAGAAAGTTTCTTATTTTAATATTTAGATATGTGGTTGTTAGCTATTCGGCTAACAGGTAAACATAAAATACAATTATAAAAATTGCAGTTAATTACAATTATAATAATAACTTAGGAATAATATTGTCGCATGAAATCGATAATTAGGTAATTAGCTAAGAATATGAAATGAAATGGTACACAATTTGATGTACTTACAATGATATATGGAATTACAATTGACCTTTATTTAGTAATGACGTAATGAGTGACAGGATAATATTAATATAATATAATATTAATTTTATGATTCATTGAATTTATAAGAATTTTTGTGTTGACTTACAAAGTTAAAATTAGATACTTAATGAAATTTAAATTTAATTGCATTCTACTTTAATGTATATTTTTTCAAAGAAAAATTGGTTTTTTAGTAAAGATTTTCGTCCTTGTACAGTTTTAACTACTACCCATTTAGAGGTAGCGCAATATAAATTATAACAATAAACTAAATATATAAATTTCCAAAACTGTAGAATTTCTATTATAAAAATTAATTTAAAAAAATATCACAATAATTAATATCTTAAATCATTTTTATCAAACTCAATAATCTTATTTTCTTTTTATAGGATATTGTGATCTTGACAATGATCCTGCATTTTTCGGTTGAATTGAAACTCGAACACTTGAACCTGAACTAGTAAATTATTTTTCTAAAAATGGGACCATCTCAGCCATCAGCTATTAATATGCCAAATAAAAAATTTCCTGAAAATTCAGGCAGGTGTTTCCATGAATCCTGGTATTGGAGAAAGTTACCAAGTGGCGAGTTAACACGTAGAAAATGGTTATCTTACTCTAAAACTGAAAACAAATTATATTGTCTTTATTGTGCATTATTTGGTCGTGGATGTAAAGAAAATTGGTCAAAAATTGGATATTGTAATTTTAGAAAAGAAGCATTTAGTATAGTTGTACATGAAACATCTGACCACATATTTTGGCTTCAATAAAAATGGCTTACAGAGAAGCTGTGTTTCCAATCATACCCTCATTAAAAGAGGCAGCTTTTACTAACGTTGCATTTAACCAAGAAGTAGTCAAACATTTAATTGATGTAACATTGTTTTTAGGACGTTATTCCTTGCCTTATCATGGGCATAAAGAAGGCTGGGACGAAAGTAATAAAGGGAACTTTAAAGATCTGGTGTTACTGTTAGCTAAGTATTCTCCTGCCTTATCATCGTATGTATCAACTGTTAAATCAAAAGGTAGAAAAATGGTCAACTTTATATCATGGGAGTGACAAAATCAACTGATTAAAGCATTTCAAAGCACATCCGAGAAATTATAAAAAAGGAAATTACAAGTTCAGTTTTTTTTAGTTGTTCACTAGATACAACGTTTGATTTATTTAAAAAGGAACAGTTATCTTTAGTGATTCGGTACATAAATCAAGATAGTGGAAATGTGTGTGAAAGGTTAATTGCAGTACGTGAATCTGTTCTAACCTCTGGACAACATTTGTTGACAATATTTGATGATATATGTTCAGGAATGAATTTAAATTGGAAAACCAATCTGATTGGGCAGTCTTATGATGGTGCAGCATCTACGCGAGGCTCTTATAACGGTCTTCAGGCTTTGATAAAACAGCAAAACCCGAGTGCCACGTATGTTTGGTGTTGGGCTCACCGTTTTAATTTAGTTATCGTAGATGTGGTTAGTTGTTGCTCAGAAGCTCAAGATCTTTTTGGAAATTTAGAAATATTATACAGTTACATGAGAAGTAGTAAGAAACGTACTCATTGCTTCAATAAACATCAGCAATTGAGATATCCAGGAAAACCTTTAAGCAGGCTTAAACGAATTGAAACTGCACGTTGGTCGTCTCATTCAAGTGCTCTCATGACTGTTTTTTATACTTATGAAGCGATAGTTGATGCTTTAGATGAATTAATAAATGACTCTACAACGGATAAAGTATCAAGTGTGCAGGCTGAAGGCTTACTTCATTATTTGTTTCAAGAACGATTTTTGCTGACTGCCCTATGCTTTAAAAATATTTTTGATACCACAAGTATTTTTAGTAAATGTCTTCAAACAGTAGACATTGATTTATTGGCTGTTATAAACTATATGCAAAATTGTCTTGAAAAAATTGAAAAGTTCCGATGTGATGAAGAATTTAAAAAATTACTAGAAGAAAATAAAATTTTATTGAATCTAAAGAAGATATAACATTTATTCCTTTACCATCAAAACGTGTGCGCCGTGCAAAAATTAGAGCTGGAGAAATATTATCTGATGAGCCTATAATTGACCCAATCCAAAGTTTTAAAATGAATGTCTACTTTCAATCATTGATATTGTATTAACACAAATATCAGATAAATTTAATGACCATTCAGTACCTTTATTTAAAGATTTGGCTCTGTTTTCACACAAAAGACTTGAAGAAGTAGCTAAGACATCTTATATCTCAGATGATGCTTTTAAAGCATTTTGTAATGTTTACAGTCAGTTTGTTGAATTGAATACACTACATACAAAAAGAATATATTCAATTTACTAGTTATTATTCTCAGTTTGAAGAAATAATGATTTTACCTAAAAAACTACACAATGATGCATTTTTAAATGAATCCGAAGAGGAATTTGAAGAAAATGATGAAGAACCTAATAATATACTTAGTCAAAATAAAAAGAAAGAAAATTGTGAATCAATAGAAAACATTTTCAAAATATGCCGGTCGTTTGGTATAAAAAAAATCTTTCCTCACATGTATACTGCTTTAAGCATAGCTGTGACATTGCCGGTATCTAGTGCCTCTCCAGAACGCGCATTTTCAAAGCTTAAACTAATTAAAAATCGCTTACGTTCAACGATGAATGAAGAGAGACTTGAAGCATTAATGATAATTTCATGTGAGTTAGATGTACCTATTGATGTTGGAACTGTAATTAATATGTTTGCATTCCACCCAATAGTTCTGCACTTGCAAAATTACTATTTTAATAAAACTACCTACAATATTATAATATATACTTACTTAGTTATACTTAGGTTTCTATTATGTGCAATAAATTTATATTATTAAATATTATAAGATATTATTATTTTCATTGAAATAATCATTTATACACATAAATACATTTTTTCTATGTACCTACAAATACTACAACAAATATTTTGTAGATTCAAATATTTTTATGATCAGAAATGTGGTCTACATTATTCCTTATACATACATATTCAATAAATGAGTAAATGGTTATATTAATAAGGTAACACATATTTCATATGGTTCAATATGTTTTACTGTATTTTACATTATATTACTATGTTATTAGGTATACATTATTAAATTATTAATATAGCACTTAATATTTAATAGTGCATATTAAATAAGATTTCATCTTTTTCAATCTTCATGATAAAAATATGGTCTATGTCTTACTGCGACAATGGTGGCGATAAAAATTTAATAGGTGGGTCTACCCATAAATTATAATACCTACCACTACTAGATACAAACATTAAAAAACTGGCATGATAATTGAAATAGTTAAGTTAAATATTTGTAGTAGGTGGGTGGGTGGATTTATAATTAATTTGATTTCGCTCCACTTAAATTTATAAGACTCGGCGCCACTAATGTTAGGTCTCAAGATAAGTATAATTTACTTAGTACATTATAATGATAAATTGACTGTTTCACTATAACATATTATTTACCTAGATGTAAATAATACTGTTGTAGCTGAGAGGTCACAATAATATTTCACATTTTGACAACTTAAATTCTTAGTATTGTTATGCAATATTAACGAATTTTCGTATGCTGATATAACAAAATTTTATACTTATAAAACAACAGTATAAAAATATTTGTACCAGTCGTTCATTAATGACAATTCGATTTGAGGTTCAAAACATTACAACACAATTACAACATAGATTACACATGTAAATCAATGGCAATGATTTTCATTTAATGGATTATTATAATCAATTTACGATGTATGATAGCGGAAACAGCTAAAGAGGTATCTGAATTCAAGGACAGCCACCAGGATACAGGAGAAGGTATTTATTACGTATCACTAGAAAAAATATAAGTGTATTCAACAAATTTTAATTTATTAACACACGTGAATATCACTTCATACCGCGATAAATTAGAAGAATAACATGCTATAAAACACTAAAAATCTATATAAAATTAATAAAAATAATTTATCAATAATTTGTGGCAGTTATAACTTAACTTTAAAGGTAGCAAAGGTCGAACTTAATAAACGATACTCAACGCTAATGCCTTTACAAGATATTAGAAAATATACAAAATACATTACCTACCACACAAGTTTTGGCAGTTGATATAAGTATGGATACGGCAATTGATGAATTTTTAAAACTTGTAAACATTAAAAATATATTTTACAATTAACAAGTACTCATTATATTAACTTTCCCATTCTATGATCGGACACAGTACACATTATTTTGAGTGTGGCCTATGCCTATCGAAATTACAAATTCCCAATTCATTTTTATTAAACCTCAAAATCCATATTTAGCAGTTGCTAAAGACAACCAACATTTTATAAGTCTTAAGAGACAGAAATGCAGAAATATACAGTTTTATCAAACGGACTATCTTATTTCCTTAAGTTCCAATATTTACAAAAAAAACCATCAATTATGCAAAATTCAATTATTCAATGCAATAAATTCATCAAGATTACCAAAACAGTGTACAGTTATACAGTATACAGGTTGCAAAATGTTTAATGATAGTTATTTTTAAAAAATAAGTAGTTCCGATCAATTTATTTATTGGGTAGCAATGATTACTACTGTAACGTTAGCATGTTTTCACGACACTACACATCATACTATACGAGAGGCAGGAATATTTACAATTCCGGACACATTTATACTATACACACCAACAACGGTGTTAAAACCTACAAAAACATCCGAAAAACTAATCAACACGTTTTTTCATTCAAATTTTCCATTAATTAACATTACGGACATATAAGTATGAAAATAAAAAAAAATTGAAAATTCCTAATTATCACCAATAGCATTATTAAATTACACAGTACCACAATTGCACGAATTACACAAATCCTCTGATAATTTAGACTCGATAATAAATGACGTAGACAAAGAACTTGGAAATAATAAAATGATTGATAATAAGTATATATTTATGCGTTATATTGTACTTCATGAAGTGCACATTTTATTAACAAACCTAAAGAAATGGTGTTCAAAAAATTAAAATATAATAGTTGAATACAGAAATAAATCAACCATAAACAGGGAATGCGTACTTTAAATGTTTTGTATTAATATATTATTTGAAACCATTGTATTTGCCTAATAATAATCATTATAATTGTTATGTATTTTTGTTGAATAAATAAAATAAAATTGTATGTAATATTGAAAAAAAAAAATGTATAAATATTTAAATCTCGTTTAGAATTTGGGTCACAAAATTAGTCTTTAATAATGCATTTTATGTTTTCAAAAATGAAAAACGAAAAGACCTTTATCTTTTTCAAATTATATTTGTATAAATTTTAACGATTTTTTGAAATGTCTCGCGATAGATTTAAGAATTATGTTCAAGATATTTTATGCTCAAATTCTTAGCATAATGTAATTTTTTTATTATTATAATTATTATTGTTTTATTATTATTATTATTATTATTATTTTTTATTATTTAATTTAAAATTTTTTTGATTTTTGATTTTGAGTAAATATTTTTAACCCTATCAACATCTTACATTATTCCTTAAATATAACCCGGCTAAAGTGTAGAGTGTGTGGAAAAAGAATGAGCAGCTCCTGACGAACGCTGACCATGAGTTTTGTCGTGGATATATAATGACAACCAGAAGTAGTGAAACAGGGATTAGTAGTGGACAACCAGTAGCGGAAGAAGTCAGGGAGCTGAGCCGTACAGAGAGGGACGGTAGATAGAAGACCATCAACATCAAGTCCACTACGATGCTCACTTATTCCTAGTATCAACATCCATTATCGTAAAGTACATTATTTATAATATATTTTAATTATAGTAAACATTCACACACCGAGGTTGAATTCCCGAGACCTCGTAAAAATAAACATAACTTTAAAAGAGTTCGATCAGCAAAGAGGTCGAAGGAATTCAAAGAGGGGACGTTACTTCTGTTATACACGAGCAATGTTGGCGAACACTTATTCGCCATTTTGTTACACTTGTGTGTTTAAATAATTTAATAAAATTAAAAAATTATTTTAGTTTAATATGTGTAAATTTGTTTTGAATAATATCGTTAATAACGTACGAGTAATTATTTGAATTTATAACTCTGGGTAATTAATGTTAATTTTATATTTATGAAAACAGTGTCTTTAATTTTTCAGAAAAATTATAAGAAACCGCATGAATTATTGCAAAACCGTGGATAGACTTTTAAAAAATACGTTAAATACACTTTTCGTATGCAGTGCTCGACTTGGTAAAATTAAAGAAGGGGGACTCTATTTACTTAAAAAAAAAGAACGTCCCCAAAACTAGCTGAATGTTATAATTATAGCGTAATAATAGTAGGAGACGCTAAATTTCTGAAAATTAGTTGGGGTACTCCGTCCCCCTGCGTCCCCCCCTCAAGTCGAGCATTGTTCGTATGTCGAAAAATGCTCATACAAATCCATATACAAAATTCATGTTAAATGTCGGTTGAAAGAAATTTTCAAAAGTTATATACACGCGGGGTGGGGGCGATAGACGTCTTTTATGTTGCTCTGGACCAGCGAAATAATATTTGGTACACCTGTACCCGTTCGCACGTGAGAAAGGTACAAGCCGCCGACCAAAATTGGTCGTCGCTGCACATGCCTCACCGCAATTTTGTCAAAGGGTTGAGCTGCCGATACGAAACGTCGCTACGCGTCGACCAATATCGTTGTTGGTTTACATACAAACATTGTTTGTGACATACAGATGTCATGATGTCGGCGGTTATTGTAGAGGGGATTTGACGGCACGGCGAGCGTTAAAGGTACGCCGTCCATAAGTACGTATCTTACGTATCGGACGAATCGTATGAAACGGATCAATTTGTGGTAATGCGTCCCCTGTATGCGTAGCGATCAGATTGCCGATGCGACGGTCGGATTTTTTTAAGTAACATTCGCATTTTCGTTGCGAGTGGACGATCGGAACAATGAGGGTGTTTTAAATTGTACAATTTTTCGTACTCTTGTACAATTTTTATAAGCCTTGCGATGTCCATGATATGCGTAATAATAATTATAATTAAAATAATAAATGTATTATAATTAAAACACGTGTGTGCTGAGCGTCGAAATGCAACAAAATTCAAATGATCAGTGAGGCGAATAGTGACGACCAGTTGTGACACGCGTCCACTTATCGGCAATCCGCATGACGTCATCCGCACCAGTCGGAAAAGTTGCCCCTTCGATTAATTTCGTCGGCATTACCGACGGACCGATACGTGCGATCCGTCCCCTGCCAGTCAGTGGACGCATAACTTACTATACTAATAATTCTAAAATCCGTTTCATACGATCCGTAAGATACGTACGATGCGTACGTATGAACGCGCACCATTATATCTGCGCGAAAACGGTCCTTACCCCTTTCTCTTGTTGGAACCGGTATAGTTCGTGTATAATCCATATCAAACACTTACTGTTCATTTTCATGTTGGCTTCATATTCGTCAACTATATCCGACCATAATTTTGACGAGTACTTCATGAGCTTAGGTTTTTTCGCCTGCTTTTCCGATCGCATCGATTTGCCGTTCGATTCAGTAGTCGACATTTCAAATGATGTTCGAAAAAGATTTGAAACGTGAAAAATATTTGAATATTATCAGAGAAATATTGATTCACTTGTAAGTCGACGTGAGATTGTCGTGAAACGATAAACACTTTACTGTAAGTTTTGAGAAAATACAAAAAGCGATGTCGCGGTTTTTCAAAAATGAATAATAAATTTGCCAAATTGACTAGGTATGTTTATATCATTGTTTTTT